TTATGCTATGAAGATTTTGTCAGAAAAAAATCCGAAAAACCCGAGAAAACAGAAAAACTCGAGAAAACCCGTGATTGAAAAACCCGACTTTTGTTGGTTTGGTTTGTAAATTTAAAAATTCGAGACAATTGGTTTGGTTTGGTAATTGAAAAATCCGAACCAACCCGACCTATGTACACCCCTACTTTTAGAATAACAAAAATTGCTTTCGAGTAGAAATAAAAGTAGCTTTTGAGAAACAGAAAAAAGTTGTTTCCTCCCAAAAATACTTTTTAGAAAAATACTTTTGAGAAAAATATATTTAAAGGTACTTTTTAAAAGCTTGACTAAATATTAATTATTGCTCAAAAGTGATTTTTAAATTAATTAGCCAAACACAAACTATTTCTCACCAAAAATACTTTTTAAAAAAGAAACGAATGTTAGAAGCTTGGCCAAACAGGCTAGTAGTAATCAGTTATCTAAATAACCAAAGTTAGTGGTTAGAACATGTTGAGAATGAGAAGTACTGTATATGACACTATTTCAAAAACTTAATTTTGCACATGAATAATGAATATGAAAAAAAGTATTAATAAGAAAGACCTAATAGTGAGACTAAAAGTCTAAAACATGTCAAATTCCAGTTGCTATCATTAAATAACAACTTAAATCCTACTAAGCTTCTTGATGGAATGGTTGATGAATTCGCCATCACTCAACAACATGTGTTCCAGTCTTCTTAAAGGAACACCACTTTCCTGTATTATTAGTCGCTTTCTTAATAAGAGTTACATGACCATGAGAATTGTTTTTTATATAGTTCAAGGTGTTTTTCTATGAGAATGGAATGCGAACTCACGATTAACTGAAAGTCCATCCACTTATCCAGGAAAAATGGAGTGTCATTTACTTGACTGACTTCTAGTGGTAGGCTGACTTCACTCTTACGTAAATTGGAGAAATTGTAGGGTTTATTGAATTTAACTTATATGCACTTAACAGTATTATTTAATATGTCATAGCAAGTTTTGTACCTTATTTTTATGTTATTGGTTCCACTAATTATGTGTCATGACAATTAGTGAATTTTCTTGTTACTGTCCCTAAGTGATCAATAGCATAGAAAATAAGGGAGGCAACTATACCATAGAAGTTAAACTCTACTTTATTGAATGTCATCTGTTTGTTATCTAATTTTGAAAGCTGCTCCTATCATTTTCCACAAGTCCACTATACAAAATCCGCAGTAGCAACTACAACATAATCACTTTCTTAGTGTATTCAGACTTCATTATTCCTTTTCCCATTTTGAGACTATCTAACATGGAAAAATATTATGTATTCGGTATTTGCACCGAATTAATAAATTTATGACATGTCAACGTGCCACGTATATCATGTTTGGCTGACTTCTTGGTCAAGATGGTTTTCTAGAGTTCATTGATTTTGCTTTCGAGTAAACTTGAGTTTATTGCGGTGTATTTGGCAAACGAATTGTTGTAGATGATAACATATACTGCTAACAAATTGAAAAGCTATTTGAAGAGTTGATTAGGGAGAAGATATTAGTCTAGGATGTAACAGACCACAATCTATGTTTTATAGAATCTAGTCGACTATTTTCTCAGTGGGATGCTTAATATAGTAGTATAAGAAATCTGCTAGCTCTTTTTTTGGGAGTTTAATCAAGACAAAAAATTTTGCAGCTTTGTTTGGCTATTTCAATTAAAATTGGAATGTAATGCAAACTGAGGTCCTCTAATCTTCCTTTTTGTTTAAGTCAACTGAAGCATCAAATGAACTGGAATGAGTGTGACTGTTAACTATACCTGAGTGCTAACTTTGCCAATATTGAGCCTTGTTCTTCCACACAACTTTTTTATAATGGAATTTCCCTAGATAAATCCTGCATTATCTCGCAACACTAGCTCATTGAGTTAGCAGCAGCCGTTTATTTTTCCTCCATGCCTTTGTTTGAAAAGATATGTAAATGTTTCCTGTTTTTCTTCTTAAGAATGATAGGGGCGTCTCAAATTCAATGACTCTTACTCAATATTGTTTATGTTACTTTGGATGAGCAGGAGGTTTTGGAAGCTATCTGTTTGGCATGAGTGAAGTTGTTGCCAAACAGGCAGTTGAAGCTAATAATGAAGCTAATATTAAGAACCCCTCTTTGGGATGGATGATAGGGTTTCTTTTTGTTGTTAGCTTTCTTGGGCTTTTCTCAGTGGTTCCACTTCGTAAGGTATATTCCTATCTCAGGATATGTGTAGGGCATATGTATAACAAATTTTCTTGCAAAAGATAAAAGCTGTTCTCAATATTTTGTTTCTGGAGTTATCAGTTTTACTTTTTTCCTCTACACGTTTTTTTTTGGGTTATGACACTTCTCTAGGGCGTAATCAACCTTAATATTTGTTAAACACAGACCGAGACACTAGAGCTTTATGCCATACATAGTACTTGGAATGACATGTTAACACTTGATTTAGTCATCCTTATTTTATTCTTCTAGACTGTATCTTGATAATGCAAAAAACTATGTTTCAGATTATGATCATAGACTTCAAACTGACTTATCCAAGTGGCACTGCAACTGCTCACCTTATCAACAGTTTCCACACCCCACAAGGAGCTAAACTAGCAAAGTAAGAATATTTCACATTTTAGTAAATTCTGTCAGCATTAATACAGATGGTATGATTACAATTTTATTGTTTCTTTCTAATCGATCACTACAGGAAACAAGTAAAAGCTCTGGGAAAGTTCTTCACCTTCAGCTTCCTATGGGGTTTCTTCCAATGGTTTTTCACTGCTGGGGATGACTGTGGATTTGCAAGCTTTCCCACGTTTGGTCTTAAAGCCTACGAGAACAGGTAGGTTCTAATTCCAAATTACCTGCATGATAAAGGTTCAATTTCAGTCATCTTTCTCGCAACCGAAAGAGATGAGTTGATATTCATTAAAACTATTTACAAAATTAGCTTTTTAATATAGTTTGAGGTGTCGGGTTCAATAACATCTCAATATCTCCTTTCAACTTTTGTTTACTTTTATTTGACATTTTAATTGTTTCCAATCAACCAGGTTCTACTTTGACTTCTCAGCAACATATGTTGGTGTAGGGATGATATGTCCTTATCTAATTAACATCTCTTTGCTACTCGGATCTATCCTTTCTTGGGGTATAATGTGGCCTCTGATTCAGGACAGAAAGGGTCATTGGTACCCTGCAGATGAGAGTCCTGCCAGCTTTCACGGCTTGCAGGGCTATAAGGTAGTCTCCTCCCTTTTCTTTTAGACCAGAAATAAGGACCAAAATGAGGCAAAATTTTCAATTCTTAAGATATCTTTTCCATAATTCTCTTCTATTGCAGGTCTTCATAGCAATAGCCATGATCCTTGGTGATGGTCTCTACAATTTCTGTAAGGTACTTGGACGAACATTATATGGTTTGTATATGCAATTTCGCGATAAAAATGAAGGTGCAGTCCTACCAGTTGGCGCTCGTCCATCTCCTCAGGAGCCTTCCATATCTTTTGATGACCAGCGTCGAACAGAGCTTTTCCTCAAGGATCAAATCCCGACATGGGTGGCCATAGTCGGTTATGTTGGCATTGCGATCATCTCCATTATAACACTTCCACACATTTTCCATCAGCTTAAGTGGTACCACATTGTAGTGATTTATATATTCGCACCAGTACTAGCCTTCTGCAATGCTTATGGTTGTGGTCTCACTGACTGGTCATTGGCATCCACCTATGGGAAGCTGGCAATATTCACAATTGGTGCATGGGCCGGGGCTGCTCACGGAGGGGTTCTTGCTGGACTTGCTGCTTGTGGTGTCATGATGAACATTGTTTCCACTGCATCCGACCTATCACAGGACTTCAAGACTGGTTATATGACATTAGCTTCCCCTCGGTCCATGTTCATAAGCCAGATTATTGGCACAGCAATGGGTTGTGTCATCTCCCCATGTGTATTTTGGCTCTTCCTTAAGGCATTCCACAGCTTAGGTACCCCAGGTTCAGCATATCCTGCCCCTTACGCACTGGTGTTTCGTAGCATGTCTATCATAGGAGTTGAAGGTTTCTCAGCTCTGCCAAAGCACTGCCTCACCCTTTGCTATATATTCTTTGTTGGAGCTATCGTCATCAATGGCATCAGAGATCTCGTGGGAAAGAACAAGGCAAAGTACATTCCTCTCCCGATGGCGATGGCCATTCCCTTCTATCTTGGCTCCTACTTTGCTATTGATATGTGTCTCGGGAGCTTGATATTGTTCGTTTGGTCGAAGATAAACAAGGCCAAGGCTGATGCATTTGGACCTGCCGTGGCTTCTGGACTGATTTGTGGTGATGGGGTCTGGACTTTACCCAGTTCAATACTAGCTTTGTCAGGAGTGAAACCACCCATTTGCATGAAGTTTCTGTCTAAGAAAGATAACACCAGGGTCGATAGTTTCTTAAATTCTTGAACTCCCTTCTTCTTGTAGGTGTTTTATCATTCTCTATTATTTCTGTTAGTATTGTCACATGTCCGCTTAAATCATTCGTGTACATATCGTGTGCTACAATTGTCATAAATCATCTCAGCTCAACTGAAACAGGATTGCTATGCTGAGTCAATGTCCCCCTTAAATATACAATTGTGTACAAAAAGCTTTTGTTTTTTCTTTTTTTTTGGGTGCATTGGCTAGCATATATCCAACTAGAGATCAATGTGAACAAAATATGTTGATCTCCATGTTAGAAGTCAAGTTCTAAAAGCTGAAAAGTAAGCATGGAAGAAAAAGAAAAGATAAAAAACCAGTTTTCCCTTATTTCTGTATCAACTTGTATTATTTGTTGTGTTGGAAAGAAAAGTATCTGGTTTCGTTATTGTTTAAAAGAGAAAAGGAAAAGAAAGTTTTATCCAGAAGCATAAATAAAAGCTTGAAGACGTCAACACGTTTTGTACTTAAGTCCTTTTATTCGAGATATAACTAGCATTTTCTAGATTCTCATATCTTTGAATATAAATCTCCTTTTTTCTTGACCCAACAACCCCACCATTGTGACTATTCTGTTCTGCCATATCTTGATTATTCCTAGTGATCTAAGCTCTTTATTGCCAACCTGCAAGTTTTGCTGTAAATCTTGTATATACACAACTTAAATACATGCTGTTGGAGCTGGTGTTAAGGCGGTGCTGGCATCAGACTTTCCCTCCTATGGATCCTCGTTAACTGTTTAGATTGTACTCCCTGTTCGGTTACCTCCCGCGTCAGATTGGGTAATTTGCGGTCCTGCTGCCTTTTTCATAGAGAAAGGAAGCTATAAAAAGAAGTTTGAGATGTGTTTGGTGTTTGTATGTGATGAAGATGAGAGGGTATTACAAAGACAGGCAGCTCCAGGGGCATGTCCTTACTGTGGAGGGTTGGTTCAAGCCTTGGACATGGAGAGCCAGTGGAGATTCTGCTTTGTCCCTCTTTATTTCAAGACTAAGCGCAGATATTACTGTACCCTTTGCACCAGGCGTCTCATCATCCAATAATTTTCCCTATCATATGATTATAGCCTTCTTTTTTTTAAAATCTTGTTTCGTTGAACTTCCAAGAAAATAAAGATGTATAATCCTTTGGCTTTTCAGGTATAAAGGGTGTGTACGGTATATGTTATCTAAGTTTTATAAGTTTGTTTTATGAAAGGATGAATCGGCTGGAAGTTGGTAGCTCAAAATTGTTCTGGTGCAACTGACCTGCTGTTCTTGCTATATGAAATTTAACCGATTATATTACATTGCTCAAGCTTTCTGCACTACACTACACATGTACAATCTGGTGAAAGTTGATAGTTTCTGCAGCTGTACATTGGAAGTAATTTTGCTTAGGCCTCAATCAGTTCTCTAATAGGTTTACTGTTTATGTTAGCCGATGGGATATTAGTGAATTCAGAGAGTATAGCTCTGAACTCATCTCCTGTAAGAGTCTCCTTTTCTAGCAGCACGTCCACTAATTTGTCGATTGCCTCCCTGCTGTTCCTTATGTGGTTCTTTGCAACTTCATATGCTCTCTCAATTATGTGCCTTACAGCTGCATCAATGTCTTCTGCTAGTTTCTCTGACATTTGATTCCTCGCCAGCATTCTCAGCACCAAGTCACCACTTTGTGTTGCAGGATCAGTTAACGCCCATGGTCCTATCTCAGACATCCCGAACATTGTCACCATCTGCTCAAGATATAAACATTAACAAGTTAATACTTATGAGTATTCGACTATGTTCTTTTTTCCTTATTTGGTGTAACAAGAAGATGTGCCAAATAAGTAAGTACTTGTCTTGCTATTTGAGTTATTTGTTGCAAGTCTCCAGCTGCACCAGTAGTGATTTCTGCTTCCCCAAAAATTATTTCCTCTGCTGCTCTACCTCCTAAGCCTCCAACTATTCTAGCAAAAAGTTGCTGCTTAGAGATCAAGGTCGGATCTTCACCAGGAATAAACCATGTAAGACCGCGAGCTTGCCCTCTTGGGATCAATGTAACTTTCTGTACTGCATCATGACCAGGAGTCAATGTCCTACAAGCGCAAGAACTCACTCTTTAGTACAGTGTCTTTTGATTACAAATAACAAACAAAAAGTCTGAATACTTTGACAGCTTCTTAAATTTGTCCGGTTTTTTCATCTAAACACTGCCTGACATATTGAACACTTGATGTTAGTTGAAAAAACAAATAAGTAGCAAATTACTCCCTTTTTTTGCTTCATGTAATATAATCTAGTATAAACGAAAACAATGAGGGGAAGAAATGATCGTTAACTTACGCGCAGACACCATGTCCAACTTCATGATATGCTACCAAAATCTTATTCTTTCCATCTGTCATCTTGGTTCCTTCCATTCCAGCAACAATTCTATCGATGGAATCATCAATCTCTTTCGAGGTAATCTTATCTTTTCCTCTTCTTCCAGCTAGAATGGCAGCTTCATTCATGAGGTTTGCAAGATCTGCACCACTGAATCCTGGTGTTCTCATTGCAATAACACTTAAAGATACATCTTTATCAAGCTTCTTATTGTTACTATGAACCTTCAATATTTCTTCCCTTCCTCTTATATCAGGCAGTCCAACACTTACCTAGTGTATCACAAAATGGATGTAACATCAATATCAGTGAAGTGATTCTGGAAACTGTATTGGAATTTTACAATCAAAAGCTCATTTCATACCTGCCTATCAAATCTTCCAGGTCGAAGCAAAGCTTGATCAAGAATTTCAGGCCTATTAGTAGCAGCAATGACAATGACTCCAGTGTTTCCAGTAAAACCATCCATTTCAGTGAGAAGTTGGTTAAGTGTCTGCTCTCTTTCATCATTTCCACCACCAATACCAGTTCCTCTTTGCCTCCCAACAGCATCAATCTCATCAATAAAGACTAAACAAGGTGAATTTTGCTTTGCCTTGTTGAATAAGTCCCTAACTCTAGAAGCTCCCACACCAACAAACATCTCAACGAACTCTGAACCAGAGAGAGATAAGAACGGAACCTCTGCTTCTCCGGCGATCGCCTTAGCTAGCAATGTCTTCCCTGTCCCTGGTGGCCCTACTAAGAGAACTCCCTTTGGTATCTTTGCCCCAACTGCAGCAAACTTTTCTGGGGTTTTCAAGAACTCAACAATCTCTTGAAAATCTTGCTTTGCATCATCTACTCCAGCCACATCATCAAATGTTACTCCTGTATTTGGTTCCATCTGGAATTTGGCTTTGCTCCTGCATTATTCACAAACAAGTACTACTAGTTATTATTAGTTGTTGAAGATCACTTCACCAGACATAATGTTCAATCTTGATCATGTTTATGGAATTTCTATTATAGCATACCGCTGGGTTTCTTAAAGAGATGGAGCAGCAAAAAAAATTAAAAGAATGATTGAAATTGTCTCTCCTAAGTTTTATTAACTATAAAGCGATTTAAATAGCCAACTTGAAAATAAAATACGCAGATTTATAAAATATTGAAAAATCTAAAATATAGCAACAACCTACAATATCTAACCGAAATTTAAGTTCAAACAAAGTAGACTACTCTTACTACTAAAAAAAGGGCTTCCCGCTATGCACGGGGTCCGGGGAAGGGCCGAACCACAAAGAATCTCTTTTATGCAGTCTTACTCTGTATTTCTGCAAGAGGCCGTTTTCACGGCTCGAACCCATGAACTCCTGGTAGTATTATTATTTTAGTAAATCAGCAGTAACAGAAGCTATATTCAACACATACCTTCCTAATCCAAAAGGCAAGTTTGGCCCACCAGGGGTATTTGAAGAAGAGCTTCTCAACAGCAAAGAGCCAAGCAATATCAATGGAAAAGCTAAATTCCCAAGTAAATCAAGAAGTGGTCCTATGACATTCATTTCAGGGAGATGAGCAGCAAAATCTACATCCTTCTCTCTAAGTTTTCTCACCAATTCTGGTGGCAATCCTGGCAACTGAACTTTAACTCTCTGGACTTTGTTAAGAGCAGGATTGAATATCTCAGCAACAGCACTATTCTCAAAGAAATCAACTTTTTTCACAGCACCTTGATTCAAGTATTCCAAGAATCTTGAATATGACATTCTACTTGATGTTGCTTCAATTGGTGCTTCAGTTTCTGCTCTTGCTGGTTTAGCCAAAGTCCCTGCTACAAGGCTCAAACCACTAGTACCCAACAGCTTCCTCCTGTTTATTCTGGCGTCTGAATATGATTTTTGACATGGGGTTTCTTTATTGGAGATTTTAGGATTGTGAGTATCCTTAGAAAAATCTTGGGATTTGCATAGGGGAAATTGAGTGACAAACAAAGAAAGGGCAGGAGACATTTTCATTTTCTCAGCTCAGATTTATGTGTTTATGTATGTAGTGTGCACTTTGGGAAGTTAATGGCAGTTAGCTGCTTTTGGAGGGAAAGATGGTAAGAATGTTATAATAGAGTTAGTTTATATAGGCTTTGAAGATGTTTCTAGTACTACTTTATTTGGAATTTTGTTGTGATGCTTTTGTAGTACGTACTTGGTCATTCATGAAGTCTCTAGAGTAAATGACTTATGGCTATTTGGATATGATGTGATGGAAATTAGAAAGAAGTTCTAATAGCTCATGTTTATAATTAGCAGACATTATATAATAAAGTCTGGAGTTTAACCATATATACACTTGGAGAGATTGTGGGCTCTTGTTTGGACAAAATGTGGTAGGCAATTTTAGATTGACTATTCTTTTCAGTAGAAGTGACACCGGGTCATTCCGTTAGAAATCTATATTCGAAAATATGCTCAAAAATAAAAATGCTATAAAATCAGAATTATTTCGAGCCCACTAAATTCACAGTGTTCCCTTAAGGAACTTAATTCTCTCCTAGTACCCGAGGTTTAGGATTATTTCCTCCAAGGATAGAATGGATTATCCTCACTGGTATAACGGTACTTCAAACTCAGTGACAACAAACGCAAAGAATAATAGTAAATCATACTTACTGTTTTTTTTTTCTTGTTAAAACATTGCAGAAAGAAGAAGGAGAAATCAGAATTTTCGAAAGGAAAATTGTAAACTTTCGATCTTCGACTATTACAATGGACTTGATTTGATGAATGAATTGCTGATTTAATTAGCTTTTCTGGTTAAGACTAGATGATGTACCCGTGCGTTGTGCGATGCACGGGCCCAATTATTGCTTTTTTTTTTTTTGAATTTTTACATTCCTATGACACATAAGAAACCTTATTACCCTCAATGTTTAAGGTTTGACTTAATTACACTTAGTATACCAAATTACCAATTCTATACCATAATTAATTAAAGGAATCTGCATATTTCTCTCTCCTAACCCCTCAGTCTCACCCACGTTTTACCCATACTCACGTTCTTTTTACTATTTTTCATCTTCTGAAATCAAATTCTCCCTCTAAATTCACAGAAAATTGAAGAAATCTTTCAACAAAGTTGGTTCCCCATTTTACTTCAGTTGAAGTTCATCAATGAAGAACAACAAAGTTCATCAAAATTGAAGTCAAATCTTCAAAGTTCATACACACATTTACCTTCAGCTTCAAATTTTCTCAATGAAGAAGAACAAATCTTCAAAGAGACAAGAGAGCAGCAATTCCACCATTGACAGCCATTAAAAAACTTTGAAGCTTTGAATTCAAATTTGGGTTTTCAAAAATCATTATTTGTTTTGATTGGGTGTTGTAATAAATAATTGGGAATATGTTTTGGAGTTTATATCTCAATTTTGAGGGGTTTTGGTGAAGATTTAGACTTGACTTTGGCTGAATTTCAGATTGAAACTCGAAGAAGAAGAAGAAGAAGAATAAGACATATTGCAGAAATTGTAGAAAATTGTAGATAAATTGTAGAAAATTGTAGATAAATTGTAGACTGTTTTTTGCAGAAGATTTGTAGAAGTTTTAGTCGTTTTTGATTTGTGAAAACAGAAAACAAAGCATCTACAATCAGAATACAAATAATCTACAATTTATCTACAAAATATCTACAAATTGGGCGCATTGAATTTTAATATCCCAATCCCCATTCAATTGTAGCTTAATTGGATTTTCGACATAATTGCATTTTTTGTAGAAGATTTTGTAGGAGTTTTAGTCGTTTTGGATTTGTGAAAGCAGAAAACAATGCATCTATAATCAGAATACAAATAATCTACAATTTATCTACAAAATATCTACAAACTGGGTACATTGAATTTTAATATCCCAATTCCCATTCGATTGTAGCATAATTGGCATTTTCGACGTAATTGTGTTTTTTTGCAGAAGATTTGTAG